AAAAAAAAAAAAAAAAAAAAACTGAGTTTGGATACCCCAACCCGAGTAAAAGATGAATGTGATGGTGCACACATCTGTAATCCTAGTACTGCTACAGTGAGATAGGAAGTGGATTGATGAGAATCCTAAGAAACAGATGGGTCAGCGAGTCTGCCACATAGAGCCAGGGACAAGAGAGCCTGTCTCAAACAAGGTAGAAAATGAGGACTGACACCCAGGGTACCCTTTGACCCCCACAAACATGCCATGATATTCTCTCTCTCTCTCTCTCTCTCTCTCTCTCTCTCTCTCTCTCTCTTTCTGTCATACACACACACACACACACATGCACACACACATGAAAATGTATCCCATAGAGACCTTCCATGATTACCAAATATGGGAAAGAGTGAGACCTGAGCTATGGTCACAAGGAAGAGTGGAGACAACTATCCCTGAGGAGTTAGCAAGGGATCACAGCTGAAGCAACTCCGAGTGACAGACACCGGCACAGTGCAAGAGTGGAAGAGCTGTGCTGAATACAGGGGTTCACTGGCCTAAATATCCAGTAAGGTTTATTGTGTCGTTTCCGACAGCCCTGGGTGAGGTGATTCTGTAAGGAGTCCATTGTCAGTAGAGCACTGGGACATAGACACCAATGTTCACCCACTACACAGGGGACTTACAAGCGGGCTCATAGGGATCAAAGGTCTGATCAGGCAGAAAAAAGAGCCACTGCAATGGGACAGAGGAAGAAAACACCTTGGCCTTGAGGTTGGATAGTCTGGGGCTGTGTCTTTGCACACCATATTCCTGAATAAAAGACTAGATCCCTGCAAAGTAGGACAATGTCTTTGTCCCACTAACCAAGACCGAACCGACTTCAAGGCTTCATGCCTCCCTAAGGATCTGCCTCAGGTTGCTGGGATTACAGTGTTGTACCAGCAACAAGAGTATGTTGAGAACCTTTAACGCCAATCAAAAACCTGTCCAATTATTTTTTGGTTTTACAGCTAAGTAAATGAAAATTCACAGAAGTAAACTTTCAAAATCTGGTAATAAAAACTATGATTGAACTTATCTGTAAGGATCTATCCAAGAAATTACAATACCTTTCACTTGTCCATAGAGACTATCCAAATTAAAACAGCTTCGATGCATTGATTAATATATATATATTTATTTATTTATATATATATTTATATATATATATCTCCTTTGTGTTTATCATTCATATTTCATCATGTTTTTCATAAGAGTGTCAAGATATCTTTTTCAAATAATTAATTCTACATTGACAGTTTTGTTGATGATCTTCTCTCAGTAAACTTGACAAAGAGAGGCAAACATGAGTCCAGAAAAACATGTTCATGGTAAACATAACATAAAGCTCTTTCAAGAAAAGGTTTATTTTCCCTATAATCTCAATAAATATCAGCCTTTATCTTGACGTGGTGATATGACCCCACAATCCCAGCATTTGGGAATGTAAGGTAGGAGGACCTGGAGTTGAAGGCTGGGTGTATAGCAAGACCCTGCCTCAGAAAAGAGGGAAGAGAAAAAGAAAACATCCATCTTTAAAACACAAATTTTTATGTTATTGTTGTTTTGTGTTTTTATCAAAAATCACTTTACACGTCTTGGTTTTTCCTTCATTTTTTAGTAAATCAGTTTTGCAATCTCACTACTTTTGAAATTATCATTTAAGATATTACTCTAGAGTTGACTATATGCATTTATGATTGGTCCTCTACCTGTACTAACTATATTCTTCTAAGAGAACATACATGTATCTTAAACTATGGAGCTGAGAGAAGAGCTCAATGGTTAAGCCTTGGGACCCTCTTCCTTCTACTGGGTTGCCTCACCCGGTCTTGATGTAAGGGTTTGTACCTAGTCTTATTGCATCTTGTTGTGCCCTGTTCAATTCATATCCCTGAGAGGCTTGCTCTTTTCTGAAGGGAAACAGAGAAGGGGTGGATCTAAGGGGAGAAGAAAGATGTCAGGAGTTGGGGGACTGGGAGGAGTGGAGGGAGAGGAAACTACAGTTGGGATATATTAGATAAGAGAAGAATAAATAGAAGACAAGATAAAAACAAAAATAAAGAGTGCTTGCTGCTCTTCCAAAGGACCAGAGTTCAGTTCCCAGCTCACAACCACCTTTAATCCAGTTTCATGGAATCCAACACTCTGTTCTAGCCTTTGTGGACATCCATGTGTACAGAGACACACAGACACAAACATAAATAATCATAAGGAAATAAGAAATCATATAATAAATAATAAAAATAAGATAAACATTTTAAGCTATCTTATACTACCAGATTTTTCATTTTGTAGCATTGCCATTTATCATACTCATAGGATACATTTTCGTTATGATTTTTTTAGACCAATCTAGGCTAAGAAAACATTTGCCTGTGCTTACTTCTCTTATAATAGTCTTCCTTTCTTATTTAGGTCCAAGTTGGCCCCTTCTATCACATCACTCCTCCCAAAGAACATCTATATCATTTCTTCCAAGGCAAGTTTCCTAGAAACAAATTATCTAAAATTTTATTTGTCACAGAAAATATTTATTTCTTCTTTTTTCCCAAATATTTATTATTCCTAGAATTGTTTAATAGATGTGATTGTGAGCGGTTTAACACATAGCAATAGTGTCAAGAGGCTTCTCATGTAGCCTCTGTCCCACACATGCACAGTCTTTCCCATGTTCGGTATCCTTCTAGCAGGACACTTGCTATAATAACCAGAGCCTGTATGTCACACTGGGTCCCACTCTCTCTACTTCCAGTGTGTTCAGAAGCAAAGGTTTAAAAGTTATCTGCCAAAATCAGCTTCAGGATGAAGCCCGTAGTTTCTTCCACTCACTTAACACTTTGGGGTGTTAGAAATAAAACAATCACCTATTTTCTGTTGCTATTGGCACATGAGGTGGGAGATAGGTCTATTTTGATCTCTCTGGAATGTGTAGATCCAGCTTCCCCAAGACAGAGAAATAAAAGATGACAAATTTAAACAGGATGGAGAAAAAATAACTGTTTGCAAATGACTTAACCATCTAAACAGAGTGTGCTAGAAGCTCAAATCAATTTTTAAAACTGACAGAAATAATAAAAAGATTCAGTTAAATTGTAAGATACAAACACCACACAAATTAAATTATGTTTTCAAAGACAATGATGCAACAGAACAACCATAACAAGGAAATCAAAGATCCCTACACCAAACACCTAAAATCTAATAATTTTGTTTAGTTCTTAATACAACAATCTCTAAAGAGAAGCAATATTTTAATGCTTGCCACCTGTGTGTTCAGGGATATAGCCAGCATTGGAGACATATGCCTTTAAGACCTAGGGGGCTGTACATTCAGACAGTGATGAAGCAGTCACGTGTTTGGGTTTACAACCAATGAGAAGGCAGAACAAAATACTTTAAATAGACGAACAGACAGGAAAAAGAACCCTCATTCGGGAAGCTGGGACACCACAGGTGGAAGGGTGAAATTTTAGCTCTGAGCTCTGACCTCTCGGCTTTCTCTTTTGCATTGTTTCTGTGTTTCTTATTTAATAAGACGGTTGGTTACATCTATAGTCCAGTGATCTATATACTAAAGAGAAGCTAAGTACACACACACACACACACACACACACACACACACACACACACACGGAGAGGTATAACAACAATTAAGGAAAAAGAAAGGCTATGAATTTGAAAGACAACAAGAGACTTATATGGATGGAGGGAGGATGGGAGACTCAAAAGAGGTGAACACAGAGACAACCCAAAATATGTGATTGTGGTGCATTTAGAAATAATTAATTCATGTTCTCTATAGGAAGCATTGAGCTGTCTTCTATTTGTGCAGGTGGGAGACTATGGAAAGTTTGAACACCAGTTCAGAAGAGGGCTTCATTTTGGTGGGCTTCTCAGACTGGCCTCACCTAGAACCTATCTTCTTTGCCTCCATTTCTATTTTCTACTCTCTGACTCTCTTTGGCAACACCCTGATCATCATCCTGTCTCGACTGGACCTTCGCCTACACACACCCATGTACTACTTTCTCAGCCACCTCTCCTTCCTGGACCTCTGCTACACTGCCAGCACTGTGCCCCAGCTTCTGGTCAACCTCTCTGGACTTGACAGGACCATCAGCTTTGGAAGGTGTGTGGCCCAACTCTTCATAATGCTCTCGCTGGGAGGAATTGAATGTGTGCTTTTGGTGACAATGGCCATAGACCGCTATGCCGCCGTGTGTCGCCCACTCCATTACACAATCATTATGCACCCCCTTCTCTGCAGGGCATTGGTTGTATTCTCCTGGGTGGGAGGACTCGTGAACTCTCTGATCCAGACAAGCCTCGTGATGGCCATGCCCCTCTGTGGACACCAACTGAACCACTTCTTCTGTGAGCTGCCTGTTCTCCTGAAGTTGGCCTGTGAGGACACAGGAGGAACAGAGGCCAACTTGTTTGTGGCCCGGGTCATTATCTTAGTCTGTCCTTTAGTGCTAATTCTAGGCTCCTATGCCCACATTGCCAAGGCAGTCCTGAACATCAAGTCAATGGCAGGTCGCAGAAAGGCTTTTGGGACGTGTACATCTCACCTCATTGTGGTTGCCATGTTTTATGGCTCAGCCATCTCCACATATCTCCAACCTGTCCACAGCTATTCTGAAAGGGAGGGAAAGTTTCTTGCCCTTTTTTATACTATCATCACCCCCATGCTCAACCCTCTGATTTATACCCTGAGGAACAAGGATGTAAAGGGGGCTCTGTGGAGGGTGCTAGGGAGAGGCACAGATTCGGTGTAGAAGGAGAAAAGGAGAGTAATGAAAATGTTGTGTAAAAGCACTCATATCTGAAACACATACCATCCTTGGACCAAGAGCCTTTAATCACTAGAAAATACCCTTCTCCAGACCTCGTAGTTTCATCTCCTTGTCTAGAAGTTGGAAGTGGTGACCTCACGAGAAGCATTCTAGTGTAGTGTTTACAGGCATTGTGCAGCATGCTGATTCATATCTTACCTTTCCAAAGGAATGAGTTTGAGAGTAAAATACATTGATCCTTCTAGAGAGAATGGACGTGTTTTCTAAACACACAGCTGCTAGTGAGAGAAGGTCAAATTCAAAATAGCAGCACATTCCCAAATTGACATTCATGATGTTATGCCATGTAGATGGCTATGTGCCAGAGACATTGAACAAAAGTTCTCGTATTTTTCACAAACCAGCGTTGACTCTGGCCATGTCTGCTTTTATCTATGGTCCATTTCTGCTGTCTTTTATGGTGGTTACTGTTCTACAGTATATGTATCAATTAAGGAAAAATGAACAGAGGTACTCTATGAAGTATATCAAGACTCAGATGTGAAATGATTTTAATTACTTAGAAAAAGGACAGAAGCATTGGTGTGCCGTGGAATGAAGGGAAGAGGACAAGAGCATCTCATCAGCTCCACCATGCACTGCTGCCGGGCTACGTGGTGTGATGCAGATGTTCTCTCTTCGACCTCCATGTTTACAGCACCGTTCATTACAGCAAAAATAAGGTGTCCATCAGATGTCCCCCAGTGGTTGAGTGCACAAGGAAAATGTGGTGTATACATGCCATGAAATGTCAACTGGTCATAAAAAGCATGAAGTCTTGGTATGTCCAGCAACATGGTTAGAACTGGATGGCATTACATTAAGTGAAATAAGTAAGATAGAGAAAGGCAACTACCAGGGCTTCTTAGTCATACAGTGACACAAAGTTGATGTCATAAAGTGGTGTGTAGAGCATTGGTCACCAGAGGCCTGGGAGGGTAAGGGTGAGATGGGATAGGAACTAGTAACAAATAGGTAAAATTCACTTATATGGGTAAGCACATTCTCATCTTCTAAGTCCCAGAAATGTGATTATGTTTCAAACAATCTATTTCAATACAATTTCAAAATTGTAGAATAGGAGAGTCTCAACACATCGAAATAACCAAATATTTGAGTACATAGAAATCCAAATTACTCTGATTAGGTTATTACATATGGCATACATGTTCAAATTATTATGCTATACCCTATAGTTGTGCACATTGTCATGCGTAAATTTAAAATAAAAGTAAAAGTAGCAAATTATACATAAAAGTGAAAAGGAAGAAAATAGAAGAATCAAACATAAAAACAATATGCCTAGAAAGATGATACAGGGAAAAAATGTGACAAGATAGTGGCATGACAGGGAAGGAGAGAAGAAAGAGGGAGAGAGGAAAGGCAAGAGGGAGAGAAAGAGAGAGAGAGAATATTCTAGTGGCAGTCTCATGAAATCCAAACGATTCTCAGCTAAAGGGTTAAAAAAAGAAACGATGGATACATAGAGCTTCCCAGTGTCGTTTCACCCTGTGTGTTTAACAACGATCTATTGCACAGGTGTGGATACGGGCGACAGAACAAGAGGGTAATTAGGATCTCTCCATCATCAGTGTCTCACAATCGAAAAATTATTCAGAGAAAAGTGATTGTTAATAACTTCTTAAGAGTTACAGAAGCCAGATGAAGGAGCACAGTGCCCAGGTTTAGTATGATGGGTGATGTGTGAGAGAGAGAGAGACAGACAGACCACTGTGAAGTTGGGTGAGTAAAGAGATGGGGAGTATCTGAGACAAGCTGAGGGGGAGCATGGTCAAAATATATTTTGAAAAAAATTAATTTAAAAAAGAGATGCATCAAAAGGGCAAGAGGAAAAGAGTTGGCCATAGAACTTTCCTCCTAACTGTGAGCAGCCCAGATAGAGATGGTTTTCACTTAGAGAGGTGAGAAAGAATTAAGTCCAGGCTTTAGCCTAAAAACCGAGTACAGAGCCACCAAGGTGAAGCTTACTGCTCTTCAGAGCCCTCTGCCCTAGTCCTGTATCTCCAAAACAAGTCCCAGTAGATAAGGGACTATTACCATACTCCTCCCAATCTTAGACAAAAGTGGCATAAGCAAGACTGTCTGCTGGGCAGCAGGGTGTGGACACCACACTTTCCTTCAGAGCTCAATACTAGGCTATCATGGTGAATCAACACCAAGGGGAAATCAAAGGTCCCTTTAGCCAAGCAGTGGTCTACAAACAGCCTTCTGACCCACCCCAATATCAGGCAGATATTAAACACCTGTCATACAAAGTCAAGCACTAGCTTGCATCATTGCCAGACTTCAGTGTGCCTGGAAACACCTCTACCCTCAACTACACAGGGCCCTGTTTTTAGGCGGCCCTAGCTTAGCATCAGCCTTGCCAAACAAAGAACTATTTGCACCACCCTCTGCCAGTATAAAGCAGTACAGCTAAAATCAGGCCACTGTAGATGGAGCTATAAACCTTTCTCAGGGATAGGCAGAAACTTGTGCCTATATGGGACAGATTCAAATATTGGCCTGCAATGACACCAACAGAGACGTGGGCCTAGGTCCCCAGGCACTCTAGAAATGAGGATAGATAAAGACACTTCCAGGTTGGAGATTTAGCTCAGTGGTAGAGCACTTGCCTAGCAAGCGCAAGGCCCTGGGTTCAATTCTCAGCTCCAAAAAAAAAAAAAAAAAAAAAAGATTGGGCTGAGATAAAGACACTTCCAGACTCACAATAGCCAACTAAATATAACTCCACTGGACTTTCCTATATGAATGCCAAAAGTCCTTTGCTCTAAAGGAAAGAGGCATTAACAACCAAGAGAAAACTGGAAGGTTTAAAGCTCACTGGTAAGAATAATTATACAAATTCAGAATGTTCTAATATTATCAATGTGCTGTGGAGATCAATCATGTCATTATATGGAAACTAAAAACAAAGTGACTAAAAGTAATTACATCTGTATGTGAAGAGATGGCCAAAAGAGAAAGATAAGTTGTTATACCAGAATTCAAAATGTGGGAGGAATGGGATGCATGGACAGAGTTTTATGTTAGTATGTTTTTTTCTGTTGTTTTTCTTTATGTTCATGTTTTGATGCTTTTGCTTCAAAATAATGTCATAATGAGAACATTTCTACAAACCCTATGGTTACCACAAAGTAAAAATCTGTAATAGACAAGCCAAAAATGTTACACAAAAAATAATAAAACACTAATAGAGTAAATCACTTAGCTACAAAAAAAAGATCTAAGAGAGGAAGAAACACAATGAAGAAATTAGTTGTTAATGGCTGAAGTAAGAGGTTCCTCATCTGCAGACACCTTGGCTATAAATAAGTTAAATATTCCAATTAAAAGACACAGAATGAAGGACTTGGTGTTATGTGTTTCTTAGAATAAACTCATTTCCTACAAGTAAACATAGACTTTAGAAAAATAGATTGTAAAAAGATACAAGAAGCCAGGCATGGCTGCTGGTCTGTAATCTCAGCACTCAGGAGCCTGAAACATCAGCTTGATTTCAGACCATCATGTAGAACAAGAGACTTGGGAGAGGGAAGAGAGGAGAAGGGACAATAATAAAGGGGGTCAATTCACCATACAATGGAAAAAAGAAAGCATCTTCAACAAATGGTGCTGGCATAACTGGATGTCAACAAGTAGAAGATTGCAAATAGATCCATATCTATCACTGTGCACAAAACTTAAGTCCAAGTGGATCAAAGACCTCAACATAAATCCAGTTACACTGGGCCTGATAGAAGAGAAAGTAGGAAGTAGCCAATGCACAGGAGACTACTTCTTAAATATGACACCAGCAGCACAGACACTGAAAGCAACAATCAGTAAATGGGACCTCCTGAAAACCAGAAACTTCTGTAAGGCAAAGGGCACAGTAAATAAGACAAAATGAGAGCCTACAGAATGGGAAAAGATCTTCACCAACCCATCTGACAGAGGGCTGATCTCCAAAATATATAAAGAACTCAAGAAACTAGACATCAAAATACCAAACAATCCAATTAAAAAAAAATGGGCTGCAGAGATAAACAGAGTTTTCTCAACAAAAGAATCTCAAATGGCCAAAAGACATTTAAGGAATTTTTCAACATCCTTAGTCATCAGGGAAATGCAAATCAAAACGACTCTGAGAAACCATCTTATACCTGTCAGAATGGCTAAGATCAAAAACACTGAAGACAGCTTATGTTGGAGAGGATGTGGAGCAAGGGGAACACTCCTCCACTGTTGGTGGGAGTGCAAACTTATACCACCACTTTGGAAATCAGTCTGGCAGTTTCTCAGAAAATTGGGAATCAAACTGCCTCAATACTCAATGATACCACTCTTGGACATATATCCAAGAAATGCTCAATCATACCACAAGGATACATGCTCAACTATGTTCATAGCAGCATTATTCATAATAGCCAGAACCTGGAAACAACCTAGATGCCCCTCAACCAAAAAATGGATAAAGAAAATATGGTACATATACACAATGGAGTACTATTCAGCAGTAAAAAAAAAAAATGATGACATCATGAAATTTGCAGGCAAATGGATGGAACTAGAAAATATCCTGAGTGAGGTAACTTAGACTCCGAAAGACAAACATGGTATGTACTCACTCATAAGTGGATACTAGAAGTAAAGCAAAGGATAACCAGACTACAACTCACAGCTCAGCAGAAGCTAGATAACAAGGAGGACACTAAGAGGGATGCATGGATTGCCCTGGGAAGGGAAAATAGATGAGATCTCCTGAGTAAACTGGAGGTGGGGGGACTATGGAGGGTAGGGGATGGGGGACGGGATCACAGGGGAATGGGATGGCTGAGATGGAAAAGGAGCAGAGTGGGAGAACAATGAGGGAGATGTCTTGATAGATATCTGTAGATGTGATGTGACCAGCTGCCTCACATTCCTGCCAAGGTGAGTTC